CCCCCAATGAATGTGACGGCTGTCCCCAGCAATGCCGCTGATCAGCTTTGGTGGCGGCCTGCTCTATTGATGCCATTCCTCTGATCCTCCTGGAATATGCGTCCCCACCCTTCGGCGGGAAGCCAGCGTCGGCGTTTATTAAAGCCGCTTAATTAGCACACCGCTCTGGGCTGGCGGTACGGGGGGGCGCCCCTGGGGCTCATCCGTGTGCGTCAGATGCACTCGGGTGAGTCACGAGGCTGACTTTTCGGGGGCCCCACCTCCATAATGCCGACCGCGCTCTTTTATCCCCCGAGTGGGGATTAAATCGGAGCAGAAGAACGAGCTGCCGTTTTTAAAAAGGGAACGTGGAGCTGGGTGCATACCGTGCCGTGACTTCCTCCCAGGCTGCGGGCCTACCTTACAGGACGGCCAGCTGGATAGGACGGTGACCTTCGTGCTAGAGACCGCGGGGGCTGAAAGGCGACCGGGCCCCGTGAGGGAGCAGGTCTGATTCCGGAAAGGTCAGCTGCCAGGCCCAGTGAACATGGGGGCAAATCAGTGCGATAGGCCAATTTCTGGGGGTGCACTACAGACTCTCAGCAGTCAACACTAAGGGGCACCACGTCAGCACGGTGGGTCTGTGCTCTTTCCCGCGGTGTTGCTCTTGTACCGCTCCTCCTCTGGCCTGTAGGTGGGCGTCCGGTTGACTTCTGGTTAATCCTCCACACCTACAGAACGTTAAACCAGCCCCAACAATGTTTGAGGCGTTTGCTGATTGACCATGACGGAACATTTACTCATCTCCTATAGTACCTCTTCTTTAACTCCTATACCTTTCCCCTTGAAATAAAGTGAGACAAACATTAAAAACTAAAATCAAAACTGTTTAATCTGGCTGCTGTATGGAGTGGTTCAGTGGTGCACTGGCGCAGTGGCTCGATGGATGGCGCTGTTGCCTCATACCTGAGGGGATAAGGATTTGAATCTCAGTTTGCATGTTCTTCCTGTAGGGAGATGTGTCATAGGGCCTGGATACCCTGGTAGATTCAGGGGCCCAGCACTTTACTGGGGCCCTTGAATACATAAAATTGTATAATGTATAATGTAAGGAGAATGGGGGGCCCAAGGTGACTTTTGGTGCCTCTGGGATTGAGGTCTTTTGCTCTCTCCCAGCAAAAATGTGGATTGTCTGGCAGGGAGCTGGAAGGCAGCAAAACCATGGAGCTTCTGGGGGTCCCTGACGAGCAGGTGGAGAAGCACTGCAGCAGGCATTTGGAGGATGATGAATTGGTGAACCGAAGCTGTTTCTGTTTGTCACACGATAGACGCACTAATGGTGGTATTTCTCACAGAACTAAGGTCCCAGCTAACTTCAGGATCTGTCTTGTATTCTTAGCCCAAAGGGCTTTTTTAAGCTCAGGCTAACTAGTGGGATCTAAACCTTCTGCCATCTGAGCCGAAGCCCGTGTCCTTAGCCGCAGTGCCCCCTGCTGTCGCGACCACTTACACGGTGACAGGTTGGCGGAGTGTCGGGTTTTCCCATAGCCACTCAGCGTTCACGCCTAATACGAGACCAACGGACCTCATGGCACGGCGCCATGCGAGGGGGGGGGGGGTTTGGGGTTTACGTGGTGGCTTGAGTTATGGGTTTGACGTATGGTGTACAGTCCTCCGCCCTTCCCCATCTGCGACACCACGCTCCCTCGCGGGCCCTGTTGTTATGGTAACCGTTTAGCCTCCATAGTGTTTGTGTGTTTCTACAGCAGGCTTTCGGACCAGAAATATCTTACATTTACGCCACAGAACCTGCCTGAACGACCAAACAAAAAATAACCATTAGTATTTGTATTTTTTGCAGCCCGACAGTAAGTGATTAGTAACTGAAACATCTCAGCATGTGTGCGTTATTCATCAGCTCAGCGAAACAGATTCAGGTGTTGCTTTGCTCTTCAGTGGTTTATGATGGTTTGTTTGTGGTTCATGAATAAGCCCTGTTAATGTGCTGGTGATGGGACGGGTCCTGCTGTACAGTAATCGCTGTAGCGCTGTGTGTGTGAGGCAATATCACTGCCTGAGGACCACAGAAGTCCAGGAGGACTGCTGAAGCAGTTGATGCGTAGATCTATGTGCTCTGCACTTGGGCCATTTCTGTGCTCTAAGTTCTACCACTAGGCCTGGCGATCTGGTGGACACCTCAGACTGGCCATTGGAGACCAGGTTTCATACTTGTGAAGAAGTTTCACTTCTAGTGTGTTGTGTCTTTAACCCAGTTTATGGAGTAAGATCACAGATCTCGCATGTAGCTCCTGACTTTTTGACTAACCTCCCGGCCTGCTGTCTCTCCCCAGCCTCATGAAGTCTCCTCCCGCGATGCACAGCTAACGCCGCTAACCCGCCGGAAGAGAGGTGGTCTTCACGTTGTCAGTCGAAGATACATGGCGGCTTTAGGGGTAAGACCCGGCTCCCCCTCCCTGTTCCAGGAAGGCCTGCCCTTAAGTAGAATATGTCCACATCTCAGCAAGACAAGCCTGACTTTACATTTGCCTTCCTCACCTCCCCCCCCGCGCTCCCCGTCCGCGTTAAACTGTCCTGGGTGTAAACGGCTGCACTGTAAACTGCGGGCGGTTGGCGATGAGTCCAGACTTCCTTCCGCTAAAGCTTCAACAGCCAACCAGCTAAAAAAAGCAAACTGGGATCTAAAATAGGGAACAAACGGCAAGTGGCTAAAAATGTGAGTGGCGCCGGGCTCTTCCCCTTAACCGTCACACACTTCACATAGTGCCCCCCCCCACAGTTTGTAACAGGTTCAGCTACTGCTGATATCATATGTGAATATTTATGGACTTCTGGACAAAATATTGGGACACGCCTATTAATCATTGCGTTCAGGTGTTTCATTCAGACCCGTTGCCACAGGTGTATAAAATCAAACACCTCGCCATGCAGTCAGGTTTGCAAATATTTGTGAAAGAATGGGACATTCTGAAGCGCTCAGCGAATTCAACTGTGGTACTGTCATAGGAGGCCACCTGCAATAAGTCAGTTCGTTGCTAGCAAGTTCCCTGCTAGATATTCCATGGTTAACTGTAAGTAGTATTATTGCAAAGTTGAAGCATTTTAGGAACAACAGCCACGTAAAGTAACAGAACGGGGTAGGCGGGTGCCGAGGCGCGTAGTTTGTAAAAGTCGCCAAAGCTGTGTTGGCTCAATAACTGCAGAGTTCCAAACTCCCTCTGGCATTAATCCCAGCATAAAACCTGTGTGCTGGGAGCTTCATGGACTGGGCTTCCATGGGCGAGCAGCTGCATGCAAGCCTCACATCACCAAGCGCAGTGCCAAGCATCGGATGGAGTGGTGTAAAGCACACTGCCACTGGACTCTGGAGCAGTGGAAACATGTTCTGTGACTGACAAGTCACGCTTCTCTGTCTGGCAGTCTGATGGACGGGTCTGGGTTTGGCGGATGCCTGGAGAACGTTACCTGCCTGACTGCATTGTGCCAACTGTAAAGTTTGGTGGAGGAGGGATAATGGTGTGGGGCTGTTTATCAGGGGTTTATTAGTTCTAGTGCAGGGAACTTTTAGTGTTTCAGCATACACAGACATTTTAGACAATTCCATGCTTCCAGCTTTGTGAGAACAGGAGCCCCTTTTCTCTTCCAGCATGACTGTGCCCCGGTGCACAAAGCAAGGTCCATAAAGACATGGTTGGGTGAATCTGGTGCAGAAGAACTTGACTGCCCTGACCTCAAACCCATCGAACTCCTATGAGACGAACTAGAATGGAGATTGTGAGCCAGGCCTTCATGTCCACCATCAGTGCCTGACCTCAGAAATGCTCTTCTGGATGAATGGGCAAAAATTCCCACAGACACACTCCATAAACTTGTCGAAGGCCTTCCCAGAAGAGCGGCAGCTGTTATAGGTGCAAAGGGGGGACAAACTCCGTATTAATGCCTATGGATTTAGGATGAAATGTCTTAAAAGTTTCTGTAGGTGTAAAGGCCAGGTGTCCCAATACTTCTCTCAATATAGTGTATCTTTTCAATCAGTCATACATTTGTCCAGGTCCCTGCACTAGGAAAACAGTCTGCTATTTGAGTCTCTGGGTAGTGGGGAAGTACCGTCTGCTTTTAGCGAATTGGATTGTCTTACTGGACCTCTATTCAGCTCCCTGCAATCCCCCCTTGTCTACTTGGGGTGTCTTCTCGCCTGTCACACTGCGTGCTCTGTGAACTCGTCACCCGGGCCCAGGGCTGCCCGGGACCGGCCACAGTGAAGGCCGCGCACGTTTTCAAGAGGGTCTGTGTCTTTCGGCTGTGGAGACCAAGCTGCCGCCTGCCCCGTTAATCCTTTGCCGTGGGCCGAGAGCCTGGTGTCCCGCCATGAACAAAGAGGCGTGACTCAGTGTGGTGAACTCCGTGGGGGGGGGGTCTGGCTGCAATGGCATTTCTCGATTCTTATCCAGGGCTGTAAATGGCACTCCTGCCTTCAGCTGAGCGCCCGTGTCTTTCTCTTGGGGGACTGTCCGTCCTTCTGTCGGTCCGTCCGTCTGTCGGTCCGTCTGTCTGTCTGTCCGTCCGTCCGTCCGTCTGTCCGTCCGTCTGTCTGTCTCTGTCCGTCTCTCTGTCTGTCTGTCTCTCTCTGTCCGTCTGTCTCTCTCTCTGTCTGTCCGTCCGTCTGTCTGTCTGGCCATCTGTCTGTCCGTCCGTCCGTCTGTCTGGCCGTCTGTCTGTCTGTCCGTCCGTCCGTCTGTCCATCCTTCTGTCTGTCTCTCTCTCTGTCCGTCTGTCCATCCGTCTGTCTGTCTGTCTGGCCGTCTGTCTGGTCATCTGTCCGTCCGTCCGTCCGTCTGGCCGTCCGTCTGTCTGTCTCCGTCCATCCGTCTGTCCATTCCTCTGTCTGTCTGTCTGTCTGTCTGTCTCTCTGTATGTCTGGCCGTCCATCCGTCTGTCTGTCTGTCTGTCTCTCTCTCTGTCTGTCTGGCCGTCCATCCGTCTGTCCATCCATGTATCTGTGTCCCTTTACTGGGTAAGCACTGATAGAAGCATGTTTTTATACATTTAGTTTATTTGTCAAAGCAACATAAAACTTAGAAAGCAGAGCCAGCCGATCCCGGGACCAGTTGGGGTTGAAGGTCCAGGTCATGAGCCAGTTGAGAAACCAGCCTCCCAGTTAGGGATTAGAATGAAGTACAAGTATCCAGTGACTTGTGTCCGGGTTTCACCCCACAAATGAGGACATAAATCCATCTGGACGTAGCTCAGTCATTACAAGCGAGAGATCAAATATACTGTATAACACAAGATACAATGTAACACACATTTACCTTAACCTCTGTAGTGGCAGCACAATTGGTTTGTTTTGGTTCTTTCCCCGTAGTGCACACGTCCGAGAACATCCACTATGTCTGCTTCGGACGTCTCTTGATAAATTTTATTAAGGCTCTTATGGGACATTATTGCTGTCGGACATTACTAGATACAATATAAGTTGATGGATGACCGTACTTTTAGAAGACCTAATTTGCGCAATTAAAATTGTCCCGTACAGTTTAGATGTTATAATTTTTAATTACTATGGTTAAAAAGGAGACTGTTACTGAAACAGATTAAGGGGATTACTGTCTTCTCATGATATCAAATATTCAGCCTTCTAACTTGTTGTCCAGGCTTCTAAACACTGTGCTCTCTGCTGCCCCCTAGTGGCACTTGGACTAAATCGGCATCTACCTCCCTTCTCCCCATGCCACTTACCCAGAACCCTGAGATGCTGACCAGGAGGATCAAGCTTTGGGATATCAACGCCCACATCACCTGTCGCCTTTGTGAGGGCTACCTGATTGATGCCACCACCGTCACCGAGTGCTTACACACCTGTGAGTACCTGATGCTATGATGCTGCCCTGTTCGCAGGTCTGTCAGAACTCGTGCATTAAAAACATGCCTCTCCCGATATATGCTGTTTGAGCTTCTTCTCAGTCTGGTCACGTCTGTCTGTCGTGGTCGATGCATTAAGAGTTCAGTTGGAATAGAAGCCAATGTGCACCTTAGGGCACCAGGGTTGGGGTGACATCCGACTTGCAGATTTATCCTTCTAAACACCTTTCAGAGCTGCATCTCGCCTCGCGTTCCATGATGTAAACAGCCTTGCTCAGAACTTAGGACAGAGTCACTAGTTAGAGAGCTGGATCATGCAGTCACTTGGCCTCAAGCCTATGAACTAGAACAGGGCTTCTCTCTGTAGGCTTTGGCTGCGCCTTTCTTGTACAATATTATGGTTTTCTCTAATTCCAGAGCAGGACCGTTACACATGAGTGTGGTGATTAGTCCGACAGATCATGTGGTTCCCTTAATGAACCAATCAAGATGTATGGAACAGTTGTATGGGTTTAGCATTAATGTGTTGTTGTATTTTTTTTAAGCCGCGAGCTAAAATATTGTGCCGCTCTAATGTATTCAAAAGAGCATTTATAAATCACACTGCAGTGTACCTTGCATGTGTGCACTGAAATCAAGGATTTAAAACTTTTTTTCTTCCTTTCTTTGACTTTGGTTTTTCTTTAAACCTCTTTTCGGGTCTGTTCTCATGGTTTGCAGTTAGTGTAGCGTCATTATTCTGTCTGGTTCCAATCCCCCCCCTCCACCTCAACCCCCTCCAAGACAAAAAGTAGTTCAGTTGAGGTGATTGCAGTTCAGTTGAGGTGAATTTGGCTCGTCTGCTCTATCCCTCCACCTGGTGGTCGTATTTTGAAAGCGCGCCATTATCGATTCTTAGGTCCTTGTTTGCGAACCAATACCTGCAAACTACTAATTGTAATAGGAACGATAATGGCATGAATAACCTCCAGCGACTCAAATCTTATAATAATGCAGGATTGACTCGCTTTTCTGCATGGGGAGAAAGGAATTTAACGGTGATGTCTGTAACTGAGACCGTTAAATGCTAAAGTATTGTCACTGTCAAGAAGTAGAGAAATAAATCGTGCTTTCATTTTGGGGATTTTTGTGTGTGTTTTTGTGCTGGCACATGCTCAGAGCAAACTGGGTCGCCCAAGCGCAGGAGGAGATTAATTTTCAGCGTGCTTCTGTGTCTGCAGACCTGCTGATGGACTGAATCCTGCTTTTTACATGTTCAGAGACCTTCGTTTTTTTGCCCGCTGAGTATCTTCAGCTGGGCCACTGCAGCTTTCACGTTTTATTCTATCACTGGTGAACACGGAGTTCCCATGAGTCATAGCATCGGAAAGACGCTTGCATTTGAGGATCGGGGGGGGGGGGGGTTCCTTTCAAAACCGTTACTCGATGACTGTATTGAGGCCTTAATGGATTTTTGGCCCAAACTCTGCCCTTCGGTGGGTTCTGATGTCCTAGGTGTGTGGTGGCCTTATTCTAGTAAAATCCGGAACTCTGTAATCTCCATAAGCTCCATAATACATAATGGATGCTCTTCGAATATAATTGAAAACGCAGAGGAAAATAATCAAAAATTTAACTGGAATATAAAAAAACATATGAAATATCCTGCATTTTGAGTTCCGAAGACCAGAGCGAAGTGGGGGGGGGGGGGCACCACACCACACCACACAGCACAGCACAGTACAGCTGTCGAAGGACCGTTATCCTCAACTGAGTCAGGCTGCGGGTTCTGCTGCACGAGGCCCTGCCTCCCACTCCTACCTCAGCCAATTAAATTTCTCTGCTGAGTACTAAAACCATTGAAAGCTTGTAAAGTTCCATTCAGTTGGTCAGGAAGGGGGGGGGGTGGTGGTGGGGTTTCGGAGTGCATTCTACCTGGGAGGCCTTATTAATTGACCAAGTACTATGGGGCATTATGGGAACTTTCTCAGTCAAATCAGAAGAACGCGTGAGCTGCATTGGAAAGCTTCAGCTACTGGGGCCTGGATCTCCCTGCCTCTTTAAGACTGTTTGAGGAGGTCTTCTGCTCCTCATGGCCCACCGAACGATTCCCCCCGCGGTAAAGCTGTCACGCCCCCTCCAGAGCTGCTCGATTCCTTGCCTGTTAGGTCAGGCTCGTGGTCTCTCCAGAGCCCGGCTCTGCTGTTTGGGACACCGTAGATCTGAGCCATTGTTGAAAACAAACACGGACTGTGTCACAGCGAGAAGCCTTCGTCAGCGTGTTTGTGCTCAGACGGGGGTGGGGGCCAGGCCAGGCCAGGCGGGGGGGGGGGGGGGGTAGCTACTGCAGGGAAAGGGAGTGTGGGCTACAGATGCTCTCTGGAAGATAGAAGAACGGCTTTCCCGTGTCGTTATCTCCCCCGAAATCAAAAATGTGGGGGTGAATTCTGTAGAACAGAGTACTTTATTGATCCCCATAGGGAAATTCTCTTTTTACCTACCCAAACTTGCCCTCCATGAGACACACAGAGGGGTGAGAGCAAGCTTGGGGGGGGGGGTGTCACATTGTGGGATTGGCCCCGCAGTGGCTCTCGAACAAATGGGGGTTTAAGGCTTTGCTCAGGGGCCAAACAGTGCCATCAGTTTGGCAGGCCAGGGATTCAAACCGGCGACCTTCCCATCACGGGCACAGAGCCCTAACCTGCAGCCCCCCCACCCCCCGTCATTTGAGCCCTGAAGCAGAGGCTGGGGAAATCACCCTCAGGTTAAGTACGGCCGCTAAAGGATTGCTGTAAAGTAACGTGATGAATTTTCTTACCCTGGAGGCCTGAGGTTTTACACTGAAGAAGCTTTCGGCTACCCAAGAGGAAGGATATTGCCTGGGGCCCCCGTCGCCCTCTGGGCTGTTAGGGGTGAGATTTGGGGGCAGTGGAAGCCTTTTGGATTGGATGACTGAAAGGTGGTTTTTATCCTATAGAATATGGCAGGGCATTCCCTGTGTTGCAAGAAAAAGGAGAAGAAACCTGAGTTGATTGGCATTGCGCTGCGCGCGACGGACTGCGTGCCAGGCACAGGGGGCGCCAGTGAGGGTGCGCCGCAGTTTGGCATGCTAAGGCTCGACCCTGCGAGGGACCCACGCTGTCTCGTACGAAATAAGGGAAAGCCTACAGTGGAATTTTACTGGGCTTTTATCCGACGTGGTACGATCAGAGATGGGCACAAATACTTGTACCTTGTTACAAATTACAGATAGTTGCTCATTAAATGTAACAAAATAATAACATTTCTAACAAGAGTATTTTGTATTTAATTACAATACAAGTAATTTGTAATTCAAAATACATGTAAAATAGTAGTGGTACATGACCAAGAGGTGTACCATTACAACCCTAGTAATGTGTAATATTTACAAAATATACAGCTTGGCCTTAAATAAAATAATAATTTTGTGATTTACATGTATTATAGTAGTATTTGTGAAATGAAAAATGACTTTTGTAACATTAATAAGGTAATGAGAGAGAGAGAACGTAATGCACCTGCAGCAGTGAGTCGTGGTTGGGGGGGGGGCGATGTCGCAGTTCCCTCTTTCAGAACCGTGACACGAGATCGTAACCGTTTGTAATTTATACCCAGTGTTTCCCACAGAATGTGTGGCGATGGCTGACAGGGGTGCGGATTCGTGCGTGTGCACACACAAGTAGGCGCACCAACACTTTCTTAATTATCGTAATGTGTGAATAGGTGCCGAATACACGCAAACTCAGAGAAGAAACTGTTTACACTCAAAAAACAAAGGGGCTATGCGTGTAATTAGCAATGTCATGTTCCCCAGTCGGTTCTCTCTATTACACTGGCTCAGAGGCTATTTAGCTGTTTAGCTGATAGAAATTTTATTTCGTAATTAGGAACAAACGTAGCTAGCCTGATTTATCGCTAATTAAGTCTTGTGTATATAACGAACCACAAGTTGCCGCTGCCTGTGCATGCCTGTCGGAGTTAACTAGAAAGCCGCTAGCAACTTAATTCACAAGTTAGAGCACAAGCACTGCTGTTTGCTAATTGCTTTAATTCTCTGTCCTATACTGACATTCAGCAGTATCTGACGGTATATTTCACTGCATACATTACCTTAAATCAGTTAGCTGCGTTGGTGCTCGGCGCGTCTTTCTTTGGATTGCTGCTCATGGGAAATGAAGTTTGCAACGAGCAAGCTGGGCTCAACAGGATGTACTGCGAGATTTACTTGCACCTAGCCAAAAGCGGTTGTGGGCTGTATTTAAAGGTGTGTAAGGCTGGTGATGAAGGTTCTTAAAATGGCAGAAAATAAATAAGTAAAACATATTTCATTAGAAATTTTAAGTATTTTAAATATATAAAATACAATCTCTCAAAGTATTTTGATACAAATTGTATCAGATTTTTTTCTGTCCAGTAATATACAAATTGCGAAATACTTAAAAGTAATTTAAAACATTTTAAATACATTTAATTGAAATACTCCCCATCTGGTTATGGTGGCCCTAACTGCTTGGACAGTCTGTCTTCTCAGGAGTATTTTAAGCAATATATCATAAAGACCCCGACTACATTGTAATTTATTATAACAACATGCTACTTATTCTGCGACAATATAATATCCTTTTCATTGTTTTCTTTTGTCATGTCTGTCAGACTCCCCCCATACTTGCAAGATCAACAAAAATGTGATGCTGAAAGGCTGGGGAAGGGGGGCAGACATGTGACCTCCCCGCCCTGTCTGTGTGACGCCCCCCCGCCGCCCTGTCCATGTGACGCCCCCCCGCCCCCCTGTCCATGTGACGCCCCCCTGCTACTAGAGCATATTTTTCATCTTAAACGTATCATTTTTTTTAAATAAAAATGTTTGTATTTATCTGTTGAGATAATGATTTAAAAATGATGGCAAGCTTGTGTTGAATATGATTAGTTTTTTTGTGACTCTGCGTGAAAGTTATTGACTAGCAGGAGGGAGCAATTGGCTAAACAGCAGCCACAGAATCCCTCTGGCCTCGTTTCGGGGGTGGGGGGGTTGGGGGTGGAGGAGGTTTAAATTGGCTCCGACCCTCCACAAAGCACTTAGACTCCCCAGGGCGACGCTGAACACCCTATTGCTCTCCAACAGGCTTTGAAATACAAATCATTCTGCTTGCGGTTTGGCGTCGCCCAGCTGGCATAAATAAACTGCCCACTGAACGGTGATGGGGATGCGGATTCTAGGGTGATTGGGGAATAGAAACGTCCTAATTTCCCGAAGCTTTAGGGACACAGAGTCCAGTTAACCTGCTGTTCAGCCAGTAGTTCAAGGGCTGCGTTGTGTGCTAGGAAATCACCGCTTTCACTTAAATCCATAAATCGCATCCTAATTAAAGTGACTCTGTGACTTGGAATCGAGCACCTGTATTCACCAGCAGGCTGTGGAGCCTGTTCCTGTTTCAAACACAGTGATTAACAGCACGACGACCCCACACTGTGATTCCAAGGCGCAAGTAATTTGCTGTACAGTAGATGGCGCCATCGGGCCAGAAATGAATGGCTGTCCCATGGCTTATGGGTGAGAATCTTCAATTACAAGGTGACTTTGTAGAACAGCAGTTGGCTCTCTCTCAGCACTCAATCAAAGACCATTACACGTCCATTATACGCTTTGTCGTAATGTAATCTCATTAGCTCATTTCCTGGTACGTGATCAAATGGAAGGGATGTCCTTTGACACGCTCAGACTTATTAAAATGACATTGCCGACTGTAATAGTGCCTAAGAGGTACCACTGGGGGGGGACCGTATTGGTTTGTAGAGTTCCGAGTGTGACTTTGGTCTAAGTGAGTGTCTCTCTCCTCTTAAGTCTGCAGGAGCTGCTTGGTGAAATACCTGGAGGAGAATAACACCTGTCCCACGTGCAGGATTGTGATTCATCAGAGCCACCCCCTTCAGTACATCGGGTAAGCGACACAGCCCTCACAACTCCATACGAGATTTCAGCTCGGCGTCGTTAAGAAGATGGCCAGTAGAGGGCGCCATTAATGCATCGCAAACCCCAGTGTGTGTGTGTGTGTAAGTGTGTGCGCTTGCGAGTACCTGTGTAGGCGGTGAGTCCTTCCGCCAGGGCCTCTGGGCTTTCGGCAGTGCGGTTGTGGCAGCCCAGACCCACACAGGTTGAGGGAGTCTCACCCAGAAGTCGCTGTTACACGCTCAGGTCATCCCGATCAGCGAAGAGGGCGTGATGTCCTCGCCCACACCTCCACGCCTCCCTCAGTCCTGCCCAGAACCGTCACTTTATCATGGAGATTATTTTGTTACCTTTGTACCCACCCCGACAGTGAGGTTTATAAATTATACAGCTGCACTAACACGACAGCGTCCCCACCATTTGCCCGTGTGACTGTTCTTTCTGTTAGAAGCTCAAAGAATGTTAACCTCAGCGCCCCTCCCCTGCTCACCGGGGGCTCCTGTCAGGCAGGTGGACTCTCTTGCTGAGCATGATGGGAGTCGGCACCCTCCCAGTATGCCGTCTGTGAACCGACACCCCGCCGGCTGGCCAGTTCTCTGCTGGCCAATCGGCGGCCGGCCCTGGACCCCATCCAGACTTTCCCTGTAAACATTTTTAAAAGTTTTTTTCCCCCCTAATAGCTCACCTGCAGGACCTCGCTGCTGCACCATACTAGACTGAGGACTTGTGCTGACATTTGAAGCCCCATGACGCCCTTTGGCTGTCCTGCCACCTGCTCGGCTTGTAGTCTGTCTGACAGCATCATTTGTGCATGGTGGGGGGGCATTCCGTTCACACGCGCACACGGCCTGTCAGGACGGCGGTTTATTTTTAATCCGCTTCCGTAATTCCCGTCCGTCCCGAGGTGGGGAGGCACTCCCGGGGTTTTATTCCAGCAATCGGCCGGCTGGCTGCTCTCCTCCGTCGCCTATGACCTCGTCCCGCTTCGCCTGTCCGACTGACCCTACATGGAGCGGGACTTTCGGATCTGCGCATCCAGCGGGCGGGACGATAGCAGACGGGTCAGAGGATCTGCCCCGTTGTCCGTACCTGCGGGCAAAGCGCTCCGTTGGTCTCACTCCATCCATGTTTCTGGAATCCTCCGTGGCACGTAATGCGCCGGCGATACCAGCAGCCGGCCGCAACGCCCCAGGTGCCCTTCTGACGGCTTTGGCACCGACGGTCTGCCCGTCCCGAGATGTGCCGCGGGTGGCTTTATAGAGCCCCAACTTCCCCCACTATGCAGATTTTTCTGGCGTCAGAGATAATTAAACCACAGTTGCACACAAATTAATAAATGAAAGGTCTATTTTCGTACATGCCCCTGCCGCACGGCGACTGCAGACTCGTCTGCGCAGAGTTGCCTCCTCCCGAGGTCATGGGATGCTGCCAGGCTCGTTTAATCAAGGAAAGGCGACGTGATCAGGAAACAAAGGCCGCCCCTTCCTGTGTGGCAGGCCCCCGGGGCACCAGCCGCCCCCAGGGCACCAGCCGCCCCCCAGGGCACCAGCCGCCCCCCGGGCACCAGCCCCCCCCAGGGCACCAGCCGCCCCCCAGGGCACCAGCCGCCCCCCAGGGCACCAGCCGCCCCCAAGGCAACAACCGCCCCCCAGGCGCTCTACAGGCCAGCGTCGTGTTTTTGTTTAGAGGCTCGTTTTGTTTTTGAGTTGTTATTCAGGGGGTTGTGCTCTGGCAAGCCGTACGGACCAGTCTGTTTAATCTCTGCTGTACTTGGTAGCCGGGATGGACAGTGATTGGCTGTAGCAGATCAGCTGTCTGCCATGTTTATTAAACTCTGTGGTCAGCAGCTGGTTTTAACCAGCGATTGAAGAGCTTTTTGGGGTGGATGATGGTCAAAACTGTTCACCCGTGTGTTGAGGTAACGGTGAAACTTGTCGATCATCCTTTTAAGAGGGTCCCTGACCTTTTCTGGGAGGAGGGGGTCGCTGAACTCTTAAGGTTCCTGAGCCAATGGGGGTGGGGATGTGGAGGAGGGGGGGTAAACCCTAATGGGGGGCTCCCTGATGGCTACTGGGGGGTGGGGTCACTGAATCCTAGTGGGGGCCGGAGTGCACAACGGAGGCCTGTTTTCAGGAGCCTGATCAGCGGTACCATCTATAGACAGCGGGCAGGCTGGCCTGCTGGTCTGCTCTGGGGGGGGGGAGAGGATGCACACCCCCCATATGTCTGTGCTGTCAGAGAAGAGTAAGGAGCTGGGGACCACCCTATGATGGCAGGCGGGGGTCTCGCCATTGCTCCAAATGATGCAGCTGGGAGGCGCCTCCATGTTCACCCGTGCAGATACATGACACACGTGCAGATACACGACACGTGTGCCGGGAAAAACACGCCAGCAAGCAGGGCTGTGGGGCTCTGGGCGTCAGCCGGCCATCACTGTCACGGATGTGCGAGGGGGGGGGGCAGACGGCAGTTTGAGGTATGGAGGCGATGGTGCAGCCTGAAGAGGTAAACATTCGCTTGACCTGAGCTTCCCCCCCCCTCAGAGGTCACCCGTCATGATTGCACAGGGATCAGAAACTGCAATAACGGGACCGAAAGCCTGTACACAAATTTAAGATGCAATTGCGGTGAGAAAAGCCCCAGAGCTCTGCTGTCCCTGCCTTCTGTGTGCTCTCACTTGACATTTTGAAAAGGCTGTTATCGGATACGTGCCTTTTCCGTTTATTTCGGCGCTCTTGTGTTTACGGACATTGCGGCACGGTGGCCCTGCCCTCGCACCCCCAGGTTGGCCGATCTGAACCTGTGTGTGTGGAGGTGGCATGATCTCTACCCGCTGTGTCACTTTCCTATGAAAAATCTAGTCACCTCCCACAGTTCAAAAACATGCGATAAGGTGAAGTGGTTCCCTGGCACTCTATCCTAGACCGTGTTTCCACTTGCAGGGATAATCCAGACTGACTTTAACCCTGTTTTGTGTGAGCAGTGCTGGGAGATGGATGCATGCTTGCAGAATTAAATTTTGGGCGCAGACGGGCCTGTGTTTTGATCTGAAGGTGTCCACTTTCTTCCAGCCATGACCGAACGATGCAAGATATTGTGTACAAACTGGTACCTGGACTTCAAGAAGGTGAGCATGCGCAATGATGTCACCGTACATATCTGCTGCATGTTTCTTCATCTCATTCCTTACACCGGTTCCATCTCTTCACAGATTCTTATAATGATCCGTCATGGACCGTCAGCTTTGCTAATTCTGCTGTTCTGATAGTTTGACACAAGACCATGTGCTCTGTATAAGTTCTTCTGCATTCAAGCTTATTTCTCTCGTGGCTATTTTTAGTGGCCTTGTTTTTTTACAAAATAAAAGTTATTTAAAAAAACATGACAGGTTTAACATATTTGTTTTATGGGAGCACGCTTTGTTCTTGCTCAAAATGGCTGCCGCCAAACTCACCCCCCAGTCTCACCTGCTGAGAGGGCCTGGCCCACGCTGACTCTCGGGGGGCCACCATGGGTGTGCCAGACCAGCAGAGGGCCTGAGAAGGTGTTCTGATGTGGCGTGTCTGTCTCTCCACAGCGGAGATGAAGAAGCAGAGGGAGTTCTACCAGAAGCTGGGGATGGAGGTGCCGGGAGACGCCAAGGGCGAACTGTGCAGCCTGAAGCCACCCCTCGACGACCAGCGTAATGGTACGGCCCGCTTCCACCCGGCCCCTCCACACGGCGCTGTCCCCCTATTGGCTTTCCATTTCTGTAACCAAATCTGAAAAGTTCCCGGTATTGTAAGCGCAGATTCCTCAGTGGAGTCTCTCCGCCAAGGCCTCCCTGAAATGAGAGTCCGCGAGAACCGATTTCCTGCTCAGTCTCCGTAACTGGGGGTTTCTACCAGTACCAGAATCAGTATTATTGCTCCCATAGGCTTTAACTTGGGAGTGAATTCTTTGTAATCCTGGCTGGGGTTATACCGCTGTCATGTCAGCTTTGGAGACTGAGCTCTGAGATGAGAATTTTATTAACACAGTTCCGAAATCACAAAGGCTGATGGTCAGATGTTACACAACATTGGGTTGATGGTTTATCCAGGTACATAAATGGGTATTTCTGCATTACATATAGCTACTGGGTACTTCAAAGCAAGATTTCTCTTGGCAATCGCACAAGCAAAACAGGATATTTCTGCATTGATGTACAGATCAAACCTTTTTCAACCCAAAGGGAAACCTACCAAAGCAGTATTATTAATTGATTTAATTGTGAAAGGATGTAGCAGCAGCTTGGGTGCCGTGGTGGATACAATCTGAGATGATGTTCATAGAGCATGTGGGGAAAAATCAACAAGATCCTGATAAATAGGGTTTTAATGGCTTAAGTGCTGCAATTTTAACGTGCGTCGCGCTAAAACGGTTGAGCGCAGGAGTGGGGAAAAAAATGCAATTTGTCTTTTAGATTAGATTAGCAAATCCATCAGTCAGCGGGAGCTTTGATTCATTTTTGTGTTTAGTGTAGTATAGGGTCCCTGCATTGCGATTTCAGGAACAGGCGATAAGGAAAGATTCCAGCAAAACAACAGGCAGCAAATTGATAGCGCAACGTCGGCTTATAGAGGAATTTTTCCATGGCGAGGGACGAGACTGCGGCAGTTGTTGGATTCCTGGCAGGTGCCGCCTTAGATGCAGGAGGTTAAAGCAACGGCGTCTTAGAGTCGCGTCACGGTGTGGCCTGCCTCGATTCCCATAATCCTTTACTTCTGTTGTTCAGTGAGAAGGAAAACCGCAATCATCATAACTCCCCTTTGGAGAACAGTGCTGTGTTCTCCCTCGCAGTTATGTGAATGGTAATTAGGCAGTTATACTGCTTAAGTCCAACCACCCCCCACCCCCCCGGATTGCTCAGCGGCCTGTTAATGGCCAGCGAGGGCGTAATTCTTAACGACATAATCACAGCTCCGGCGAGGGGAGGGACTCAGCCAGAAATGAGCATTGCAGCCCTTATACCCCCCTGGCGAAAGGCGGTCAGACCCATCGCTTCTCGTTGAAACCTCAAGCCGAGAGTCATATGCTGTAGGGGGCGCTGTAGAGGGGATAGGGCACTGGTATTTAAACCCAGTCTCTATTTAACCCCTTTGATTAAAAAAAGAGTATTACTGAGCTGTATTTATTAATAATATCCTAGATTCTCATAGCTTCTCAGGATAAGACAAAATCTCTCCACACTATGCACTGACCTATTCAGTATTTATTGCTGCTGCACTACTTTGTCTTCTATGTCTTGTGTGTATTATGTCCTATGTTTTGTCTGTGAGGGAGGGGTTTTCAAGTAAGAATTTCATTGTGCTCTGTACGCTGTACTTTGTACATATGACAATAAACTTCAAACTTAACATGCAGTTATTAAGTGTACAGTGTCAGTATTATGATGTGTCTGTGTGTTTCGGTCACACGATCTTCAGTCGGGGCCTAAGCGTTTTCACCTGTCTACCCCGGGCACAGGGGACGTGAAGCCTGAGGATGCGGCCAACAAGGAACCCGGCGAGGACAAGCAGGAGGAGGAAAACGACTACCACAGGAGCGACGAGCAGGTAGGGGGCGCCGGCGAGGCCGCGCTCTGGCCGCGGATTAGAGGAAGAAGCGTGACAGCAGCATGACTTTGAAATGCTGGAGCTGAAAGCGGGAAAAGTTTCCTCATATTATTTATGAAATTATTCGTTACGCACAGAGGTGTGTCGTTTAGCTTTACGCAAAGACTTTCTTAAAGCTGTTTTCAAAAGCGACGCTGATACCTCAGTGGTGACGTCTTTCCTTAAAATGAGGGGAACGTGTCAAACTCTGTAAACCCCGAGAGACCCCCGACATTTTGTCTGGTTTACATAATCCCGCACGCAGGCAGCGTCTTAAACCACCGTTTAGCCTCTCGTTTGCCATATAATTGTTATTCTCCTGTGTAACAGTATCAGTAGGCGGCTTGACTTTATTAAAGACGTGGTTGTCATATAAACACGGCTTAATCCTTCGGAGTCGCAGCATTCTGGATGGCGGTGGGATTTTATTACGTGAAAGGTGTAGCTTACCTACTAAAGCTGATGCTTTAATGATAAAGGAGGGTTATTTGTTTATTTTTGCTGCCAGTCAGGGTCTGCCTATGTTCTTCGAATGGGTGGAGACCTCGTCAGTGGGCTGTACCATGTAATACTTGGGTGGGGGGTGTTCACCAGGTGCCGTGTACAGTCTCTGGCCCACAAGTGAGCCGCCACATGGTTAATTCTAACTAATTAACTCTATCTGAAGCAGAGCGTAAATATACAGGGTCTTTTTTTCAGATGAGATAATTTGAATGGAGGTAATGAGCATTTTTTTTTTAAAAAGAAAAACATTCACAGCTAATACTGTTGCTGTTATTCCACTTGACTTATTTGAAACCACATTACATCCAAGTCATTTTAAAGCAAACCATGCAGGTTTGAATGTCTTACGAGCCAATAAAACAGCCAGATCTCTCCGATTGCTTAAGGTACTTCGTTAAAAATGCCCCGAAACAACGCCACCCGCTTTTGTCTCCGTATGCGAGCTTTATTTATGTGCTTTTCGCTTTGTGCTCTGCAGCCGCGTATGGATTTGTTTACAGCGCCGTTGTTTCACTCCGTTCTGTAATTGTGACACCCTGGCCAGCTGGGGTGTGCTGCCAGTGCAGTGAACCCCCCCCCCCCCCCATCCTTCTTTACGTAACCAAATCCTCTCCTCTGTTCTCCCTGCACACCATTGTCAGTCTTTGGCCTTTAGCTTTCTGGGAGAAACAGTATGTGAAAATGTGCCTCAGATGTGTGACACATGGTCTGTCTGCCTCGTCTCTTTCTCTCTCACGTATTATGGGGCCAAATCTAGGATTTATTTTTTTTTAAAGGGTGGGGGGAGGGGCATACGAGGGGTCATTATTCATGCAAAGAGGCAAATATTATTAGCCAACCATATGTTTTGAATCTGTGAGTGACAGGGGAGGGAGACTGTGTATATGGTCCCTGTCTGTCCGTCCATCCATCTATCCATATAAAATAAATAAATAAATAAAATCATGTTTTTCAAGGGAGTGTCCTGTCCTAGTGTATCACTCTGAGCCTTTAAATCTAATCACACAGACCGAATGGCGTATGTTGCTCCCATGATAATCGGTTCCTGTTACAGTAGAGGGAGCCCTTGACTGAAGGGTATCCCTCCCCCGATCATCCTCCTGTACTTCTTGCAGCATTAACCTCAGATGGGCTCACTCTGCAATCCTTTTCTTGCACTGTTTGTACGTGCTGCTGCCCCCTTGCATCCCTCAGACGTGCTGCATATGTGTGTAA